CACCATCACATAAACCAACCACCATCACATAAACCAAACACCATCACATAAACCAAACACCATCACATAAACATAAATGGCAGGACACGACAACAGGCTTGTAACAACAACGCAGGAAATATGTGTTCTTATTTTTATGCTCTAATAAAATTAGACAAATATACAGTATTTGATATAGCGTCCTATCTAGCTAGTTTAAGTCACCCTTTACAGTACAGTAAGCGCTTTACAGTACATAGATATACAATTTATACAATAAATACAATTATCATATATAGAAAATAACACATAAATCAATATAACTTTGAGGAATTCGCAACTTTTTGTCCCTTGCCACCTGGCTAATATCCCTATGTGTGTATGCCTGTTGAGGTGCTGGAGATGTATTATGTCCTGTTTTATTAATCATGCGCATACATTACGTGACATAATGTGTATTCATTATATACAAATTTGATTAAATACATAGATCTTGTTCGTTTGACATTAAAGCAATACGGTCGAGCACACGTTTAACAGCATTGTTATACTCTGCTCAGTGTTTTGTTTACCACTATCCCAACAAACAAAATGGCCGACCTTTATTTAAATCAGCACACACATATAGCTGATAGAGTGCAATAGATATCAATATTAATTCATTGAAGATGCACCAATTTACACAGAATCGTGTTTTTAATTATAAAGAAAAACATGCAAAGATTCCTCTCAGAAAATATTGATACTCGAATCTCAGGTACAGCAGAATGCGTAACCGAACACCTAGGGGTATTCAGCATGCCTCTTACTTTTTTCAGAAATCACTCCCTACTTTAAATATGAACGGAACACAAACACAGGTGATTACACTTTTGAGGCTTCTTCTGGCAATTCTTACAGAGTAACGTGCAGTGTAAAAGTAAATATAGTAAAATGGTATACCGGGAAACTTTCGCCGCAGTTTAACTTTCGCCCCTTTCGCCTTCCGATCTGAGGGCGAATTTAACATGGCGGCGAAAGTTTAAAAAGAATATACGACGGCACATGTTTTGTCACTATTTCGCCTACACTGAGGCCTAACCCAGATACCGTATGTGATGCAATTGGGGTCCTGTGTGTTCCACTGTTGGCGGTGTAGGGCGAATTTAACACTGGGCGAATAAGGACTCTGTCGGTGAAGGGCGAAAGTTTAACGGGGCGAAAGTTTAACGGGAGTTTAACGGGGCGAAAGTTTAACGGGAGTTTAACGGGGCGAAAGTTTAACAGGAGTTTAACGGGGCGAAAGTTTAACGGGTGTTTAACGGGGCGAAAGTTTAACGGGAATTTAACGGGGCGAAAGTTTCCCGGTATACAGTATGGTACAATGTAGCATAATTATGTCACGAAGTCATATGTGTCCAAATACGCAACGTATGGGAACAATCGTGAATGTTTGTGTTATCAGATGTAATAAATACCAATTACATAAAAAGTACAACATCGTAGTTTTTAAAAAGAAATTTATGATGTTAAAGTTACATTATCACAAACTAGCCCTCATTGAAGAACCGTTTTAGTTGCTCATCAAATCAGGGGAAATATTTCATCAAATCAAGTTTGTACATCCCTCTTCGGTTCACCAAGCATCGATCTCTTATAAAATATCGGTCAGGTTAGATACTTTAGAGGGTATCGTTAGGACCGGACTTCCGTTTCCGGTAACGGCGAATTGCCACAAACATCCCGATCGCCAATATCCCTAGAGCACTGATGACGACGGCTATCAAAAGATGATCAGGGAATCTGACGGACTGCGCATGACCGGTTATTTCTACATCATCCAGTTTTCCTACGTCACGTCTCAAACGGTCTGAAACAGTTTTATACACTCATTGTTAAGTACCATTCATTCAAGCTTATTTTGTTGATTACATAGTATTAAATGATTGGTCACATGTTCTCAAAACTGACTAGACCCTCTCTTGGATTGTAGTTATATGTTAATACTGATCGGAGGTGATATAATTAATGGTTCTTTTTCGTTTCGTTTGTTATCCGTTTCGACTTTATAAAATGTCTGGTTATTTGTACATGTATAATAATACAATAAAAATAAACAATGTTAAGGGTGGCTGACGACGCACAGAAAGGCAGATCTACTGAGGGTATTCATCTTGTGATCTTATATTTATTAGAGGCTAATCTGACTAAGGTCTAAGAGAATTCTCGGTTAGAATGTAATGTGTCAATAAACAGCATTTACACTAAATGCGAATGTCATTTCGACCATGACTTTGTCCAGGAAGCACGCTTGCGCTTATTGATAAATTTGTTAGGTTAAACCTGCATTCATATTGACTATGAATCGAACTAAAAATTTCCAATACTTATATTTACCATTTAATAACACAGTGTTTTGTGTCAAAATTCAATATATAGTTTTAATGAGTATTATCTTCGTGAATGGTTGTCTATCATTATTATTATCATTATCAATGCTTAACGGACCATCAACACAGGATAGGTCATTAGGGCCAAGAAATAGTCGACAAAAGCAAATACAAAATAAAAACATCAAACAAACTTAAAGGTAAAAGACAAACGTCAATTTGAATATTAAAAGTGCTAAATGAATTTAACAACCATCAATAACAACCGTCAATGATAATCAATGTTACAAGTTAAAATGATGACGTCAACGACTGGGACATTACCAAAGCTTGATCAGAATTTGGTAGGGTTATGTATTGCCAGTAAAATAGAAAAGCAAATATTAGGGAGAAAAAAAGCCCACAAGATTGAAGATAAAATACTATCAATGCTCCAGATTTGGATATACTGTATATTGTAATGCTCATATAATTCAAATAATAATGAAAAAATAGTCTCCCCCCTACCAAAACGCATACTTTCGTTTTCACCGTTTAAGATAAGATGATATATATATCATTATGCAAATATGACGTTACAAAGTATCATGATGTCACGCAGCATGAATTCATTTCTTAATATGATATTCAAAACAAAAATGGAAAATAATAGAATGGTTACATTCTATACAGATTAATATGTACCTTTAGACAAATGTAGAACGTCAGAGGTATCCGCTGTTCTAAGATGAGTCGTGGACGCTGATTGGACAGACCTCGTTCTGACTTTGTGACAGGATTGGTCGCACGCTGACGAATGGTCAGTCACGTTACAAAACGTAACCGTACAGAACAAGTATAAATCGTCCTGATTTCTACCGGAGTACTCGAAGTCACGGAAGACGAACCTGGTCTCGTGAGATGATGTATTTCTGACGTGGGTGTTGACGTCACTGCTACATCTGTAAACGAGAAAAATGAAGAAACAGAACGGCAGGATATTTGCTTCTCATAAATGTAATATATTCGGAGAATACTCAAAATTGGAATATATTGTGGAAAAATAAACAAGAGAATTCCAATAAGAGAAAAAACAATAAGAGATGTGTCAACCAAATCATTACTCAAATTCAAAATCGATAAAACAAGAGCAAAATATGAGCAATGGAACGATTACCATGGATACGGTTGGCGAATAATACCAGGAGATCCGGAAAGGTACGCGCCTTATACCGCAAGACCGTCCATGGTTGAATGTATCAACACAACTCCGTTTTGTGTCCAGAATGAGTAATATAGGTTAATGTTACTCACCCGTTTCTGATGAGGTATAATTTGAATTCGTCCCCAGCACTCAGGGAAGGAAGGGTGTAGCAAGATTCGACCCTTATCTTGACATCAGAGTCTGAGAGGGGCGTGGTCACACTGACGTATATGTCATCCCCGATGTTGACCGTCAGAGAACTTCCGGTCAATTGTTGTTGGTAAGAGGAGTCACTAAGAAGATAGGTATTTTTTGTTATTTAATAACTATAAAATATTCTATATCCCTTATACTTCTTATATCAGAACAGTGTTAAGACACATAACACGAAATCTTCACTATAACGTTACTACACACACATACAAGCTCGGAAACCAAATTTGATGTACAGGAACACGGTGAAAATCTCAGCAAAAGGAAAAAACAAGGGGATTGCCATAAAAAAGACACCAGGATCTCTTAAACGGTGGGTGTTTCCTAAACAGCACGTGCCATATCCTGGTGTATTCGGTTATGTCTGGGACAATATGTCGGATCTCTATGTTAGACACAACTTCATGCAGAAGGAAATTGGAGAACACACAGTCACACCTTAGAGCCAGAGAAGTGTTTACATTAAGGTTTAGATTATTTTGATAAAATAGGTTAAACGCTCTATATTGACGTTAAGACCTTATTGCAGAACAGGTGTAACGTTTACCATTAACTTTCATAACGTATGATGCAAAACGTGTACAATTAAGTCAATGAAACATTCAACATTTGTGTTGAAACTATAAAAAAAATGGATCAATGTCACATAATGACGTAGAGTCTGCAGGATCAGAAGTAGTGAACAATTATCATTCACAATAAGATTGTATGATAGCACAAGTGCTAAATTGTAGTATTACATTAACATTCTACATTCCACTGTATCAATTCAACATTGGCTTTAACTTGCGCTTACCTGTAAAATGACATGTGGACATTATAATGACCGGAACCGGAAACATGTGGGTTATTACTACGCGTGCGCACTTTGTTATGTGTCTCTATAAAGTGTTGTGATACCGTCTCATGCGTTGCTATGTCACATTCCACGTCAATCTTGAAGCGGTAATCTCTGACGATAAATTTGTAAGTGGCATCTCTGTACGCGTAAATGAGGGTATTTGTATATTCCATTTTAGTGGAGGTTATCTGCAATAAACAAGGCATATGATCACAACTAGATAAATCCGATGAATTCATGTAGTTGTTAGTCATTCGCTTTTCTGATCCCTTATGCTGTAGGTAGAGCGTATACGCACAACGAAGGTATAGCATTTTAAGGGTTTCCCCCACAATTTCCCTTATAACGCCTCCAGATAACGTGTTTCAGAGTAAAGCACCGTAACTGATGATACATTCTGGCTTTTCCGAGGGACCTGTTCTCTGATAGTGTTTCGAAGAGAGAAATAATGACCGGCTTTTGACCAGGGCACTTTTCCTTCCCGAGGGAAAAAGTCATAATCGAAACTGCATTGGCCTTCTACTGTGTTTGATGTCACGCAAAGTAAATTCCCACAAAGGAATCCCCCACTGAGATATAGTTCCAGCCAGCGGAAAACAGTGTGACGGAAGGATAGTCCTCGGAGACAAGGGAAGACAAGACTGTACAAAATAGATCGTATGAAGTGATCCAATCTTGATCCTAGAAAATCAACACGTGATGTTATCAAAGTATGGTCATCGTTTCAATGAATGGCAGTGAAAAGGAAATCCTTGAATGGGATCCACTACAAGTCGCCGTTACACCATTTAAACGTACCCCCTATAAATATTTTCTAGTTACATCAGTCGTGTTTTCCCCTTCCAGCTTTAGCGGGATTTCTTTATTTCCCTTTAATTCTTCCCTTATTTTTCTCTCTCCTTTTAATTAATTGACTGTTTGTTTTTTATGAAACTGGTCAATTTCACATTAATGATGAGTAAAGAGTCAGTATTATGAATCGTGCCACTACTCAAACTAGATGAATATGGCCATCAAGGTCACGTCAAGGTCGGGTCAAGGGACCATGGAATCCACCAACAGAGTCTCTCACTTTGTATCTTGACATATGAACGCAAGACAGACAGACGTGATTGCACTTGTAACATGTGGTAGTAGATACGGTATGCCAAACATGAATGCATCAGATCTCCCGCTAATAATGTTATTATAATGGGAAAGTAATAAAACGTTAAAGGGCATAACTATGGTTATATTCACTTCGCCTACCATGAGGTGAGTCTCGCACTTGCTGTACTGTTGGTGAACGACGAGATAGTTACCGGAGCGGTAGCCCCCGCAACCAGGCTCACCGAGGTAAATATCAGACGGGTCAAAGTCACTATGCCGTTTGTAAAGATTTGGCAAATATATCCGGATGTCCCAAGCGTCTGGGTAACAGGCGACAGTGATGGCGCTGACGTACATGTCTAAACAAATAAGTAAAACAAAGTCACCATTGATCAGAAAATATAATACAGAAAAACCCTTAAGAGAACTGAGAACAAAACTGTAGAAAACATTAAATACGGCCTAAGATAGGTCTTTTGACCCTTTCAGTTAATAAAATAAAGGTAAAATTACATTTTTTTTATTTACAGTATTTGAGAAATGTGCGATATCTTCACTTAGCGGTAGCTAATTGGAATTGATACAAAGCAAGACTTTATTAATACCTATCACCATTTCCTTTCATAGAAATACAGTTTTCTTTTACAAGGATAACAACATTTTTTTTTATAAACAAAATTTGCACTTGTCCTCTCTGGAAAAGTATAAAACTTACCTGAGGAGCATTGTTTTACTTTTCCTCTATGGAATGGTTACTTATCCTCTACGGAATGGTATAAAACTTACCCGAGTAGCATTGTTTTACTTTTCCTCTATTGAAAGGTATAAAACCTACCTGAGGAGCATTGTTTTTCTTTTCCTATATGGAATGGTATAAAACTTACCTGAGGAGCATTGTTTTACTTTTCCTTATGGAATGGTTACTTATCCTCTACGGAATGGTATAAAACTTTCCCGAGGAGCATTGTTTTACTTTCCTCTATGCAATGGTATAAAACTTACCCGAGGAGCATTGTTTTACTTTCCTCTATGCAATGGTATAAAACTTACCCGAGGAGCGTTGTTTTACTTTGCCTCTATGGAATGGTATAAAACTTTCCTAAGGAGCATTGTTTTACTTTTCCTTATGGAATGGTTACTTATCCTCTACGGAATGGTATAAAACTTTCCCGAGGAGCATTGTTTTACTTTTCCTCTATGGAATGGTAGAAAACCTACCTGAGAAGCATTGTTTTACTTTTCCTCTTTGGAATGGTATAAAACTTACCCGAGGAGCATTGTTTTACTTTCCTCTATGGAATGGTATAAAACTTACCCGAGGAGCATTGTTTTTCTTTTCCTCTATTGAATGGTATAAAACTTACCTAAGGTGTATGTTTTACTTTTCCTCTATGGAATGGTTACTTATCCTCTATGGAATGGTGGAAAACTTTCCCGAGGAGCATTGTTTTACTTTTCCTCTATGGAACGGTATAAAACTTACCCGAGGAGCATTGTTTTACTTTCCTCTATGGAATGGTATAAAACTTACCCGAGGAGCATTGGTTTACTTTTCCTCTATGGAATGGTAGAAAACTTACCTGAGGAGCATTGTTTTACTTTTCTTCTATGGAATGGTATAAAACTTACCCGAGGAGCATTGGTTTACTTTTCCTCTATGGAATGGTAGAAAACTTACCTGAGGAGCATATTTTTACTCATCATCTCTGGAATGGTTACTTATCCTCTATGGAATGGTAGAAAACTTCCCTGAGAAGCATTGTTTTACTTTTCCTCTTTGGAATTGTATAAAACTTACCCGAGGAGCATTGTTTGACTTTTCCTCTATGGAATGGTATAAAACTTACACGAGGAGCATTGTTTTACTTTTCCTCTATTGAATGGTATAAAACTTACCTGAGGAGTATGTTTTACTTTTCCTCTATGGAATGGTTACTTATCCTCTATGGAATGGTATAAAACTTACCCGAGGAGCATTGTTTGACTTTTCCTCTATGGAATGGTATAAAACTTACCCGAGGATCATTGTTTTACTTTTCCTCTATGGAATGGTTACTTATCCTCTATGGAATGGTATAAAACTTACCCGAGGAGCATTGTTTTACTTTTCCTCTATGGAATGGTAGAAAACTTACCTGAGGAGCATATTTTTACTCATCATCTCTGGAATGGTTACTTATCCTCTATGGAATGGTAGAAAACTTACCTGAGAAGCATTGTTTTACTTTTCCTCTTTGGAATGGTATAAAACTTACCCGAGGAGCATTGTTTTACTTTTCCTCTATGGAATGGTATAAAACTTACCTGAGAAGCATTGTTTTACTTTTCCTCTATGGAATGGTTACTTATCCTCTATGGAATGGTATAAAACTTACCCGAGGAGCATTGTTTTTCTTTTCCTCTATTGAATGGTATAAAACTTACCTAAGGAGTCTGTTTTACTTTTCCTCTATGGAATGGTTACTTATCCTCTATGGAATGGTGGAAAACTTACCCGAGGAGCATTGTTTTACTTTTCCTCTATGGAATGGTATTAAACTTACCTAAGGAGTATGTTTTACTTTTCCTCTATGGAATGGTAGAAAACTTACCCGAGGAGCATTGTTTTACTTTTCCTCTACGGAATGGTATAAAACTTACCTAAGGAGTATGTTTTACTTTTCCTCTATGGAATGGTTACTTATCCTCTATGGAATGGTATAAAACTTACCCGAGGAATAGTGCGGTGCAGCAGTGTCCGTTATCGTCACTGGATTCTCTGACCATATGTAACAGAAATAATACGATAGTGTTTACACATTAAACACGAAAGAAAACTACTATGAACACGAGAGAAATAGAAGTATGCTCCACCTGTGAAAATTACACAGTGAAGTGTGGAGCAAGAATCATCTTGTATCGTACATTTTGGATGAAGAAAAAGTATGGTTGTAGTATGGTGGTAGAGTGGTCGACCTTTAACAAGACAGACGGAGTCCTGTTACCTGATCGAATGTGAAAGGTTACGGGATGACCTGCCTGACGGGAAGCGCGTAAGTGGTCTCCCATTTTAAGACGACCTGCGTGCTTTCATTTGTACTTGAAATAGTGGTTAATGAATTTCCCCAGTTCATATTATTGTACGGCAATACATTCTGGATATATGTTACTTGCACGTATACTTTTAATAAAATAATCACTAGGTGGACATTATCTAGTTAAATGTAATTGCAAGTATATTATCAGTAAAATTCATGTGCTCAAAAATCTTGTCGATTCTCAGACATTGAAAAATACACAAGCTGTTTCTCCCTTGACCATTGCTTACATTGTTCTTACATGATTACCACAGTGCCTCCTTCCAAGTCTATTTCGAGGAAAAATAATGAGTCCGAAAATATTCTACAATATTATTTGCGCAGAGTAATTCTTCCGTACATTTTTGTAAATGCAAACATATAAGCATAAGACTTTTTTTCCTGTAAATATGTCAGAAAAAACGACTATTGTTCTCTATGGGCTTGACGGTATGTTTTTCAATTAGATCCATTTAATCCAGAGATAAAACGTAACGTTATCAAGATGGTATTCCCTGTAGCGAGCAAAGCATTGAATTTTTTGTGTCAATGCATCAATACACTCCGAACTGCGAGACAAGTAATTTTATAACGAATTTCATTGCAAAACGAACTACAAAAGAATACTAAGGTTCATATACCAGGAATAGATCTGGTGAGGTTTTTGTTCATGTAACAATTAGGGGCATCAACGTTGTTCAAAAAATTAAATCGGGTGGTAAATTTAGGAAGATCTCCTTTTTAAACTCATTTATATAGGTTTACTTTCATGATAACATTTAAATGTTGATCACATGAAAGATACGAAATGTGTTTTTTGTATTAATTGCATTTCTATTAATTAAAACATGTATATAACCGTAAAACATGTATATAACCGTTGTGCTGAATGCGGTATTCCTATAAAGAGGATATTGTGTGTTTCTTAATTGATGGGATTTAAATAAAAACGGTAATATATAATTACGAATACCTCACTAGTTACTTTAAACATATTCTTTCGAATTCTTTCCTACTAAACATTTAACGGTATTGACAGAATAAATCGATGATATCTGACAAGCACCATATTTCTTTCTATTGTGGCCTCATGATAAGTTATTTCGAAGTGCATTGTTTTCTGAGTAAATGTTTTGTTGTTGGTCAATGCACTATCAAAGATGTTGCTTTAGAGAAAAAATCACCATTAAACCTCATTTTCCACTAGTAGCAGCTTTTATCGCCTGTTTTTACTCACCCGTAGTCGGTCGTCCATAGTCGGCAGTGGTTACTTCTAAAAGAAAGTAAATGCCAAACAATCTGTTAACCCTTTCACCCCTATGTAACTTAGGTAGACTCTGCCATGCATTGATATGGATGAGTTCATTATGGTTTACAGTGTTGAAAGGGTTAACATTACAAAAACATCAATAAAATGCACAAATACAATATCGTTCTGTAAGTTTCATCGTTCTACATCTTCATGCCATATAGAAGTTAGAATTACAATACAGAGTCAAAGATTTCGTTACACAATGTCATCACTAATACGATATAACATGAACAGTCTACAGTGTGGCCAGAATTATATTGTAGAAATATAAATTCGGAATAAACTATTATTGCTTAAATGTTAATCTCCTGAAAAAAGATGATAACAACGAATTTACCTTTGTCTATTTCTTGGAGGCTGGCTTTAAATCCATTAGTTGTAAAAGCGATGTCAGTTACATATTCAACCCTCATGATATCGCCCGTGGAATCCACGTAGTACGGGACATGTATAAATCCTGTTAATCTATAACAAAGAAACTTAACAAAAAGTCTTCAAAGGTTACATTAGGTACATTTTTAAAGATATACTACCGAGAAATCAATAACTTTCGTGAGGTTTGTTATTTTGTTGAATCTGTGTGTACTTTTAGTCGGCGAATTTATATGTACACAAAGTAATTTCATGGTTTGACTGGAGGATTTTTACACAATTTGGCACACTGCCAGCTTTCGTGGGTACTAGTAATCTACGAATTCATGTGCTCACGAAACGGTGTTCTTTGGGAAAACTATGAAATTTTGGCCCAACGATAATATCTGATTTCACAGTCTATTAAACTGAATTTAGAAAAGAGATGTAGAACTTCAATGGAGAACAAGAATACATTTTTTGTATAATTCTACTCTAACGCATATTTATCAAGCAAGTAAAATAGAAATGGATTGTTCTTCAATTAAAATTTTATTACAAGTATGTCAATGTATTATTCACCTGACAATGTATACTTCTCTCACTTGTAGCATAAATCCATAAATGTCTATTGCATGATAAAATTGCTTAACTTTTAAAAATGTACATCGAAGTGTAAACATGATCAGTTAAACTTTCGCTTTACCCCTTATTTTAATACATTTTTATGCCATTTTTAGTCCAAATGATATCATGTTAAAATCGATAATAAATAACAATCTTAAACATTGAAATTGAGAGAGATTTTTAATCCAAGACTTTTCTGTGGCAACAATTATTATAACAGAAACCAAGATTCAGAATACTAGATCACCAGTGAGTGACATAAGGGCCGGAGACGGTTATTTTCTATTTAAAATAACAATGATCTTATCCTAAATTCAACAATCGCTAAACGCAAACTTTTCTAGATAATTTGTGTAAAGTTTTCTTCAAATTAGATTAGCATCGCAGCTACAGAAGGACGGAGAGCGAAAACAACAAGAGGATACCGAAGTGTCAATAGAACCGCTTTTCGAACTCAAAATCGATAAATCTAGGGCAGCATAGGAAGAAAAGAAAGATTAAGACCCATCAAAAAAGTACAAGGAAAATAAGAGCATGCGTTCTGGAAGCGTATCCGTATCTGGCTTTCCCATGGTGACACTTGAAAGCGTACAACAATAATAAGACCAGACGTTCCAGAAGGGTAGGCGTCTTCTGCTTCATCGATGACACCTGCCACGTAGATTTAAGTCGAATCCAGGTCATGTCACGTCCTCATATCGAGAAATGAGGAAGTACAAACAAAACACTTAGGCACATTAACGAATTGCGACCTTCATTTCACACCAAGAAATAAAAAAGTTCCCTGACAGACACTGATATTGACCATAAAGCTTGTCCATAGTCTTCAGCAACCTGTATATAAAGACTATAAAACTATAAATACCACTGACAATCAATTGAGCATTGCTTCGGAGCAACTGCGGTATGGAATGTATTAATTACATATTATATATATTACACTGTTGGACTGGTCGTGACAGATATGTGTGTTTATACGTTATCTAGAAACGCATTATTGATTCACAAAATTTTAGGTAATAGGTAGAAGAAAATGAGTTAATAGTTTTGGTATGGGGACATTGAAATACTGCCTTCGCTGTTAAATTTCTGAATCCCCGAATACATAAATATGTGCAGTATTTTAGACATAGACTAGCATAACACATGTAACAACTTGCTAATCTATTTTCCCGCAAATACATGAAAAGATGTATCTTTCGGATCAGAAATTTTACAATTCACAAACGGAACGAAATTATGCAATATTTACTTTCCGGTAACGTTTCTGGAACCATCGTAAACAGTGACGTAGTCGTGTCCGGTATATAAGTCGAATCTCTCAAACGTCAGCCTCACTGTCGTGTTGGGAGGCACGTGCATGGTCCAATAGCAGTGGTAGTAGAGGTGGTAATACCCGGGGTTGTACGGGCTCTCGATAGTGGCGCTAGGGCCGTACAGGTCACCTGGTCCGCAATCTACCAGACAAACACGTGACAAAGATTAAGGTTCAACAAGCCCCCCACCCCACCCCTCAACACAAAAAATGCTAGAGTCACCCAAAATGTCAACCCCCTTATAAGTCATATGCAAAGATATGTAATTTGAATATATTGGACCTGTACATTAGCTTTTTAAATGGTACATAGCCAGGTTAAAGTAAGGCATTCACTCATTCACCGATGATATGGTGACACATCGGAACTCGTCCAGTTCAAAAAGGTCAATTATAAAATTGTAGGGGTGAATGAATTAAGGCTGATGTCTTGATTATAACATATCATGTCAGAATCTTTATTCCGTCTTTGCATATTGCAGAGTTATCTTCTCTTTGGAGCAGGTATTGATTGTTACGTCACTTGTTTGTGAGAATAACGTCATCAATTTTTGGGAAAACGACGTAATTTTCTCACACAAACAAATGACGTAACAATCAATACCTTCTCCCAAGAGAAGATAACTCTGCAATACGCAAAGACGGAATAGGGACGTGTTGAACCTCAATTAGATTTCGAAACTTGTCTCCGAATCATTGTTCATTTGTATTTTTCATTGTATAGGTTATTTAATGTTTAAATGAAATAAAAGCAAACATTCTAAAAAGTTGATATCAGAGTGCATGGTTCGCATTGCGGCGTATTTAAGGAAAGGGCTTTTGTATGTATAGTCTATGCATGTTGCTCAATTCGTTTGATATATATTAAAAATGAAATTGTGTCATATTGAGTTTTTGTACACGACTTTAAGCTGTGATGTATAGTTAAGTGTTCCTTTTATGACACATATTTGTGATATTTTCCTAATGCCAAGGATGCCGTGACAAATAAAAGAGTATTCAATACGCCAGCATGTGATCATATTGTAAAATTATCTACAGGGGAGTATATAGTTACTGTAAATCACATTTATTTCGCGAACTACAAACGTTAGGGGGATATAATGCGATCATTGTTTACACCGAGACAGTTACATGGTATACCGTACCTTCTCTTCGTCTGTTCGTTCTTTCCTTCCTTGTATCACCGTTGGTGTAGCCAACACTGTTTTCGTCCTTTTTTACGTAAGCGTCTGTTCGCATCTCTGCTGTTAGTGCTGCTGAAACGCTTTTCACTGAATCGTTAGTTCTCATATCGGCTGTAGGTACAGCTGTCCTCATATCCGCTGTAGGTACATGCATAATTGTGAAGAACTGAAAGAATAAAAGGCAGACATATCTTCAAGAGATTATTTATATATTTCGGTTCCGATATATACAGGTGTATACATATATTTCATTTTAAATCAAAATTAATGCAAAACAGCAGATGACAGCTGGCATTTATACCAACCTTAAACCGTACTGAAATTGACAAAGACGTGCAGATTTCAGGTTGGAGTGGGAAGACCGCAAACTTAAAAGGAAACATGACCAAATATCCTAAGCGTATGCCATTACCTAGGGTTGCAAGCTACATGATCATGTTCGAACTCCCGCCTTAAATCTAACGGGTTAACACCATGATCATAAAGCGTTATTAGTTGATGTAGCTTTGGCACTACATGGACAAATTCTGATTTTTAAAATACTGAACATTTCTTTTTCACGTTTGATATTAATGCAACATGGAAAATAGCATTTAAACCAGATATGCTCCAAACAATTCCATACTCAACACACGTATTATATAATTCAAATACATTTCTAACGACTGACAATATAAATAGTATATTTGGCTTTTATCTATTAAACAGTAACCTAAACTGAGGGAAAATAGCTTGATTTCAGCATCAACTTTTATCTTCTTTAACCTAACTTCTATCTATGTTTCTGCCATGTCTTTGTTTTGTTGTATTGTCCTATATCTCTAAGGGAAGGCGTGGGGTGATATGATACCATACCGACAGGCCTATCTATACAGGGGTAGGTGTGGGGTGATATGATACCAGACCTACAGTCCTATATATACAGGGGTAGGTGTGTGGTGATATAATACCAGACCTATAGTCCTATATATACAGGAGTAGGTGTGGGGTGATAGGACACCAGACCTACAGTCATATATAAACAGGGGTAGGTGTGGGGTGATATGATACCAGACCTACAGTCATATATATACAGGGTAGGTCTGTGGTTATATGATACCAGACCTACAGTCATATATATACAGGGGTAGGTGTGGGTGATATGATACCAGACCTACAGTCATATATATACAGGGGAGGTGTGGGGTGATATGATACCAGACCTACAGTCATATATATACAGGGGTAGGTGTCGGGTGATATGATACCAGACCTACAGTCATATATATACAGGGG